AAAGCAAAAGAGAGCAGGAGGATATGAAGGTAGGGATGAATAAAGGAAGAGAATAAAGGGAGAGCAGAGGGAGATTCTCCTATTTTGAAAAGGACAGCATAGCTCACCTGGGCCCAGATGAAAAAATAAGTAAATCATCAAGACAACTTTGGATAACTAATTTGAGAAATTCTTGGACCTAAAATAGCCCAGATCGGGGACGCAAAGATGAATTCTTCAACTGCCAAAATATTGTCTCACTCCTTCATTTTACTTTGCTGGGTAACAACTGATCCAGGTGGTTATTTTATGTTTTCTTAAGTATTTCCACCCCTCTCATCACTTTTCCACTGTCTTGGGTAGAAAAATCCTTCAAGGAAGTGTGTAAAGCAATCCTTACTATAGAGTGAGGCTGACTGGAGTTAAAAATCTAATGTCTACCTTGACACTTTTAGTGTCATCAACAAAAAGCAATTAGCAAGATTTAACTAGCAATTTAACAAGAGACCTTATATAAAAAACTTTTTATCACCATATACTAACTAATGCAAACACACAGATAATGGAATCACAAAACAGTTTGCATAATGCTGGCTTTCACCCTTGGGAATGATAAACAAGGATTGCATTAGGATACATCATTTCTTGAAAGATATATGAAAGTTCAGATCAAAATTCCCACAGGACTTTTAATTTTGCCCTAGAATCATAACATCGATCATGTATTCTACATGAGTGAGAACCTTCTCACTCTTGACTTAGCATACATGACACCCTTTCCCAGCATTATTAGTTTACTGAAGGGCTCATTAAATTCCTCACACTTTAAGCTTCATATGAGCTGCGAGTCTACAAAATAAGCAGCAACAACATAACAGGTACAATACGGACACAGAATTTTCCTAGATGGCTGACCCAATCTTATTTGCTGTAATGCTAATAATGACTAAAGTGAATCTCTGGCCTACTCTGTTCTATGCCCATAGACTGCATTGTTTCCCAGCCACTTTTCTAAGGAAAATTCCAGGGAGCACTTCAAAGCAGTGCTCACTACAGGGAAAACAGTCATACTATGCTTCATTTGAAAAGTTCTGTCACCTTATGTTACTGTATTTTGAATGAAACACTACAACAGGTTTACAATGCTTTTTTATGTTCTTTATTCCTGAAATTGCACATTGTTTTACTTCCTAACTCTCACATATAACAAAGAATATATAGGCATGCAACTCCTTTTAAAGTCTTTTTTATTTTTTATTTGGTAAAAGTAAATTTTCAAATAAAAAGATTTCCTCCACTAGACACTATTTAATTCTAAATTAAAATAGGATTTTTTTATAACCTTACAATACAGAATGAGAAAATATAAAAACAAGACTTATGACCCTCACCACTGGAGGGCAGAGAGTAAAAGTCAGAAAAAGCATTGAAAGGATGGGTGTGTAGAGGATGTCAGTAGAGGGGGGAGGGTTTCATGAGGTTCTAGGCAAGCCCTTTTGATGATGTCACCTGACATACATAATGTTACAGCAGTCAGCACAGGCCTCCTGCTTTCCTATTGGTGAGTACCATGTCAGCCGACATCAGAAGATAATCATCATTGGCCAGACAATTACAACCGGAGCAACTAGCATCCACTGCTGTTAGCACAAACCTGGCAGGCTGCTGAAAGAGGAGAAAAGCAGCTTTCCTTCTCACTCAATGAATTTTATGTCGCCTTACCAATCACGAGGTGATTCTGCTCCCTTGCTAGCAGCACTTAGAAATTAAGTCAGCTCTTAGAGAAAGTCACAGGAAAAGGCCAGACAGCTCATAAAAGAACAAAATGTCTCGATTTTCAAGCTGTAAAATCACAAGGGCTTTTCAGTGTAAAACTGGAACTCAAAAACACTTTGGGGAACTAAAAGCAGTCATTTTCCTCTACCTTATGTAAGGAACTCTCCCTTGCCATATATTACCCATGATATTTTTAGCTGGACGTATATTTTCAAGACGTTACTCAAAAGAGAATATACTTACTACTTTGCATTTCAATTGCTATTCTGATCCATTGCATATGAAACTATTTGCTGCAAAGTAAAAAACATAAAAAACTACAGTATTTATTTCATGTCCAGACCAACTAGTATCAGATTAAACATTAAAGCAACAATAAACTTGATAAACTTGTCTTCAAGTCCAACACCACTCCATGCATGTTTAAAGCTGCCAAGGTGTGCATTATGTTTACTAAACTCTCCTTATGTAGGGTGTCCTTTTAAATGATGCCAGTTAACACAGAAATGGCAAACACCTTTTCTGGCCCTCCTTGCAATTCTTCAAAAGCCCCTGGAGCTCGTTCATGAGAAATAACATTATTAATTCTCCAAATTTTCAGGATTGTTTGAAGCTTTGTCTAAGAGCTTTTCAAGAACTACAAATTCTCAAAAGAAGAAGCTTCAGTAGTGTTTCCTCCAGAAGGTACTTGAAAGCATTCTGGGCAAGACTTTGTGGTTTTCTATCCCTCCCTACAAAGAGGATCCAAGCATCAATTATGTCTTTCCCTTCAGTTAATATGGGAAATGAAAAGCCTCGTTTTCTCATACATCTGAATAAGGCTTTTTGGCTGTTGGGTTTCTTTCATTCTTTCTTTTTTTGGTGGAAGGGAGGAGGAAAGAGTTCTAAAACTGGGCCACCAGGACTTTGGGAGAAATGCACTGGAGTAAAAGAAAAAACCAAGACAATTAGGGTCAGGGAGAGTTACAAGAAAGGAGAAATAAGCAGCAGGAGGTTTTGACTATCATAGGCAATCCAGGAACATAGTCAAAAAAGAACAGAGGGCAGAAACGGGGAAAAAAATCCTACAGTGACTGTGGAGTCAAAATGCAAGGAGAGACCAAGCAGGATGTGTATTAGCAGGTAGTGCTGGCAATAAAAGGAACACCAGTCATCATTTGAATCAACGGACAAATGTCTTCTTCGCAAGTATCTGCCAGGTACAAAGCACTCTGCTGAGACAAGGCCAAGCCCTAAAAGAGCTGGTAATCTGCTAGGGGCACAGGCACATAAGTAAATATCCATGTACATAAAAAAGCCAGGAGAGGATATTGGAAGAAGAAAGCTACAGTTTAAAGAGCTAGAGACGCAACAGTGCTCAGGGGTTAACAGAAGAGAAGTTAACGTATTTTTGCCCTTTTCAGTCCCTTGAGGGCAAGGACCCGTCTGGCTCAGTGAGTACTGAGTGAATGGAGGAAAGGGGCGGGGAACCGTCCTGGAGCAGGCGGAGGAAGCGGCCCTGGAAAAAAGGCACACGTATTTAAGACGCAGTATCGAGCGAGGGGTGCAGGGGCCAAGGGACAGTGAGTGCAATCAGCAGGCAGGACTGGAGTCCGAACAGGCAGGTCCACTAGGATGCATCAAGTGACAGACACAGCACACGCTAGAAAATGCAGAGCCCCAGGGCTACTGCGGGAGGATGGCTGGCATTAGTGTGCGGCCAGAGGGTATGACAAGCCCTAGGCGGGCCAGCTGCGCGCGTGGCTCACAAGTCCTTCAGCTTGGGGTCACCGCCCGCTCTAGGCCTTCAGCGCCACCCCCTCCGCGGGAGGAGGAAGTGCAAGTAGAGGACCCCAGGCTGCGGGGCCCAAGGGGGCCGGGCTTCCCGAAATGCCAGGCCTCTCTCGGCATGGACCCTCCGCTCTATCAAGACTCTTGCCATCACCTTCCAGACGCGGCCCCGCACCCCAGTTGCCTACCGCACTTCCCGCCCTTCCCCAAGGATCGTGTCCCCTTTTCAGGATCGGGCTCTGGCCAGACGAGGTCGCGGCCACCAGCCCCGCTGCAGACCATGTGAGCGGCGGCACCCACCCCGCAGCAGGCCGGGCCCTGGCGGCGCGCGCGGCCCCGGGCTGGATCCGCCCGGCTGGTGGCTCGGGATGGGCGCGCGCCAGGCCGCCGGGAAGAGGCGGGAGCCGCAGCTGCGCCTCCGGACGCAGGTTGGCGACTCCAGTGGGCGGGGGGAGAGGAAGTTGAATCGTTTACCTCCGCCACTCGCTGGCGGCAGCCCTGCTACTGCACCAACCCGCCCCTGCCCGGGACTCGCCGGCGTCTCGGGTTTCCCATTGAAGAACGAAGGGAAGGGCGCGGGGATACGCGCGCTCGCGCACGCGGCAGTCGGATCTCCCCGCACCCGCCAGCCACTTCGGGCCGACCCTCCCCTATCAAGTCCCCAGGAACGCTGGCCTTGCACTTTACTGATAGCCCGGGGAGGCGAGGAAAGTCTACAAGGAAGAAGCGAGCTGAGCACACCCTCCCTCCCCTGCTAAATATTGCAAGGTGACACTGGATCGCCTCCCACTCGGAGATTTTCAAAAAGACTAGAGGAGGGAACGCAGTAAACAAGAAAGGTTTTCCCCGATCAGAAGTTCTGGGGAAGGACCTCCCTTGGGCTCTTTATGAAACCGGAAAGGGATCGGCGTGGGGAAGGGGTCCTGGAAGGCAGGCATCCGCTGGGGACGGCAGACAGAGGAGGGCAGTGGAGTGGGAGCTGCAAGGAGAAAGGAAGGACACGAGGGATGGGGAGAAGCGAGGACCAGAGCCGAGCGCGGAGGCTGGGAGAGGGTTAAAGGGTGCCGGAGACCGGGTTCTCCCTCCACTGCTGTGCACACCCGGGTTGTGGGAGGCCAAGCAAAAAACGCAAATATAGACGAAAAGCCGGAGGTAGCACAGGTAGGGGCTCTGGACTGTGGCATGTCTCCCGCCTTCCCCGCCGCGCAGACATCACTAGCCACATGTATATGTTCTATGTTATATAATCTATATAAAGATGCCTATGTAGCCGCGGTTGACACAGGGCATCCACGACCTGCGCTCCATGGAGTGTCTCCTGCAGCCAGGAGACCCCAGAACTTCACGATCGCCTCGCGGCTGCTCGCGACAAACCTCTCCATTCACGCACAGGCAGGGGACCCCGACATTAAGGCACTCCCGGGAGCCGCGCAGGGCTCCCGGTAACAACAGTGTCACGCGAAAGCATCACCTACCAGTTTTCCTGCATCCATTGGATAGCTTCATTCTCGTTGAACTGCTTTTCGAATTCATATTCTTGTAAAGTCAACACTGACATGTTCATTGGGGCTGATCTTCGGAGTCGCTACGTGTTCTCTATACAAAATAAAATAATCTGTAAAGCGCTTTATTTCGAGTGCTCTCCTGTCTGCTTCCCCCACCCACCCCCCCCTAGGTCTTCCCCCGCCGCGGTCTCCGGCGGTCGATCTCTCTCTCCCAAGCCTCTCTCAGCTGCATCCAGGGCTGGGCATTGCCTGAGCCTGGGCTCTGGGTTCCTCGCTCTAGGGCTCGCCTCCTCCCGGCGTCCGCATCCACGGTAGGAGGAAATGAATGCGTTGCGGTCTTAGTGCCCGCACGTTTGTCCATCACGCTTTTTACTCGTCTACAGGGAAATCTCCTCCCCCTCGTGCGATCAGGAAAATTAACCCTTTACGAGGGAGGACGCCAAAGAGCAAGACCTCTGTCCGCCCACAGGGACAGTTTTGTTTACCCAAAGGTGCTTGCAGGAGTGGGGGAAGGGCTATGAGAGGGAGGAAGAGGCCTGGAGGTCATTCACATGCCCCGAACCCAACCTCGTGGGCCGCTTGGATGAAGTTTCACCGTGCGTGGCGCAGCCCTGAGGCGCGTGGACCCGAGAGCTTGGCAAGTAAACAATTGGGAAATAGTAAAAGCTGCCAGCTCCCTCTCTCTGGCAAGAGAACTCCAGGCAAATCTGCGTGGAGGTCACATGTGAAGGGAACGCGCTGCCCACCTTCGTGGCCCTGCAGAATCCTCCGCGACCACCCCGCGTCCTCCCCCACCCGGGTGCTGGATCTTGGATTTACCTTTTCCCAGGGGCCCGATGGCCCGCAGAGCTCTCGGATCACTTGCACACCCGGGATGCTGAGGATAAGGGCGGTGGAAAGTCAAGTGAGACTAGGAGCCGGAAGGGGAAGAAAGGGCCAGGAGAGGGGTTAGGTGGAAGGTTTGGGTACTGGGAGGGCGTAATTAACCCAAGGAGACAAAGCAGCAGAGGAATTCAGCATACAGAACTGGACCGACTGGTCCAATGCAAAAACTTTATCTGCATGCATGAATAATTCTGCTTTATTTATTGTACCTGAAGGAATGACAGAATAATGTTGGAGGAGAGGGCCAAATATAATGACCCCTACCAAGCCCCTAGCATCATAATGTCCTTTTCACCTTAACTTCCACGAACACCCTGAACGAATGGTATTTTCTATTTCATCAGTCACTCCACTCTTTCCCTCCAAAGTTAGGGAAAATAAAATATGGGACATCAAGACATCTAATAATATTTACTTATTTTACAATATTGTAAATAAAATATAGGAATAATCAGTCACCTATTCTTTTAATTTTAGGTGCACATTAGGACCAGGGAGAAATTCCCTTTCTCTAGTGTGCATTTCATTGAAAGATGCCTCTAACCAGTGAAAAGTGAGAACCAGGAGAGATAGCTGGAAAGGGGGAAAGTATTGCAATTTAAAGAAAGAGTTAAAAGAAATACAGTACAATGTTACATAAATTGAAGGCTAGACCGGTTGATAAGTAGCAAATAAATATGTAAGTTTTACATTTCTATGAACAGACTTTGCAAATCTCTCGGGTTAGAGGTTGTCCTTCTAAAAACTTTTGCAGGAGAAGTCTAAGTGAATTTGTAGGTAAGTTCCAGGCAAAAGCACTTGGCAAAATTAGGCTCAAGGGTGAGTGTGGTCACTAGAGAGAATGCTTTTAGCACAATATCTGGGCCTATGAACAATCAATATTTGTAAAGTGAATGAACAATTTGATTAAAAAAAATAAGCAAGTAAGAAAGCAATCAAGGTGGAAAATCTAGGAAAGGCCTTATATATTGCAAGATAATCTTACTTTGTCTCAAAAGGATTCCATTTTTCAATTCATTATTCTCATAAGTCTTCACATACAGTTCAGAGTCATGTGAGAAATTCACATTTGGTTGCTGTTTCTTATTCAAATAGTGTCTGTTGTTGCATTAGGTCCCTGGCATTCTTGGGGCAGGTGGAAGGTCCCAAGGCTGACACCAAAACAGACCCCCTGATTTATGACTGCTTGTTTCTCCCTGCCTGATTGTTTCTTGGCTTGCAGAACAACTCAGGAACTTCCAGTTACTCAACTAGCCAGGCATGTTGGTCACACCAGGCATCTGGTGGTCACAGATAATCAGAGACCAGACTCTCTCTCCCTCCGCCATGGCTTGGTCTCTCCTATAAAGCCCACTACCCAATTCAGCCAAGCCGTTTCACTCTGAACTCCAGAGTGACAGCCCTGTGGTCTGGATTCCTAATAAATCTTTCCTTTCCACACGTGGCGTGGTCTTTATTCAGCAGTACCTTACATCTGGTGCCGAAACCCAGGAGAGGTTAACAGGATGCTCCGGCCTGGGGCTGCTCCCTTGGCCTTCATGTCCTGCCCTCTCCTGAACCCAGACTGCTGAATTGACCCATGTGCCTCCGGACTGTGGATTTCAGACCTTACCATCTTGCTGGCTTTCCCATCCATCATAAGCCTTTCTCTTGCACTGCTCTCCACCTGACCTACTCCTCTCCTCAGACTCAGTAAGTGTCACCCTCCTCGAGGCTGCCTGCTCTCTCTCTCTCTCTAGTCTACGAAGTTGCAGGCACGCACCAGGCACGCTCCTACCACTGCTTGGGGTGCCCACCACTTAGCATGGGGATGCCTGGCTAACTGGTTGGGCATTCTCTGTTGGACAGCAACCCAGGCTGGGGATGCCCACCCTTGGGAGCCCATTTGGGTGACATTCACACTCTCCTTCCTTCTCTCTCTCTCTCTCTCTCTCTCTCATTATCCCTCTCTGTTTTCCTTTCCTCCACCTAGGGTGAGAGCTCAACAGCCCCTCCAGCTTACTTTGACCAAATGGCAACTGGATGATTCTGCTCTCCTTGCCTGAGTCACGTAAGGGAGGCTAGACCTTGACCTAGGTCTATATTGGCCTGAAGGGTAAACTCACCAAGGCACCTGCCTTGCTCTCTCTCTCACTTTCTCTCGCTCTCCCCCCCCTTCTCTCTCTCTTGCTTTCCTTCTACATTATGGGAACCTCCCACTCTATATTAGACGTCCCACTGGGATGCCTTCTCTGCATCTTCCCCCTTGGTCTCCAAGACAATATATAACCTAAGCAACTGATTTTCACACACTTCTAAGTCTTGACAATTTCTGCCATTGCAATGGCAAGTGATCCGAAATTCCATTCGCCCAAGCTTTCCTTTCTCTCTGCTCTCAACCCTCCCTGTGCCAATCTTGTAACGCTGTTAAAATCCTCCTTGCCAGCAACAAACCCCCCTCAAATTCTGTGTCTCTCCTTCCCACTGAACTCTGACTTGTGACTTCAAGGGCTCCATCTGCCCACCTCCCAACTCCTCCTGCTGGTCCTCTACATCAAACTCTTCTCCCACCTCATCCTCCCATGACTTAGACCCCTCTTCTTCCACCCCTGCTGGCTCTCCCAAACATCCGCCACCCTAGTCCCCTTTTACAGTGGTCACAATTGACCCTGAGCCATCAGCTCCTCAGGAACCAACACTTCCAGCCTTGCCCTCAGCCCCTGCTACACCCTCACCCTTCTCCTCCCCACGTGCATCCCATACCCACACCTATACCTCCTCCCAAACACGCCCAGCCCATCTCTACCCACTCTGGGAGGTGGCAGGAGCTGATGACATTATCAGAGTTCATGTGCCCTTTTCCATAACTGACCTCTCTCAAATTGAAAAGAAACTTGGCTCCTTCTCTAATGACTCAGCCTCCTGTATTAAAGAATTTAAATACCTAAACCAAGCATATGATATGACTTGGCATGAGACCCATCTTCCAAGGATGGAATAATTATTCTCAACTCCCATTTTATTTCCCAATCCTTCCCTGATATTCGAAGAAAACTTAAACAGGCAGGGAATGGCCCTTAAACCCCCCAGGGAGATCTTGTGAAAATGGCATTTAAGATATTTAATAACCAAGATGAGGCTTGAGACCAGTGAAAGACCCAGCTCTTGGCGGCTGCCCTGAGGTTACCTCCTCCAACTTTGAGATGGGCTGGACAATAACGCACGCCTCCAGGATGTGTTTCAAGTAGAACCAGATAAGACATTGGGCAAAAACCTGCCCTTCACCTCACCCACTGCCAGGACCCCGTCCACAATGTGGCCAGAATGGACACTGGAAGGACAACTGCCCCCTTTGTCTCTGCAAGATAGGTCAGTCTCCCACTCCCACTCTCGACAGAATGAAGCCCTCACTGACCTCTTGGGCCTGGCAGCAGAAGACTGACATGGCCCTGGGACCTCAGCCCCCTTCAAGATCACCTTGGAGGAGCCCAGGGTAACTGCCCAAGTAGCATGTAGGCCTCAATCATCTACTTGGTGCTACCTGACTTTTCAGGTAAGCTTTATCCTTCACAGATCTCCATGATGGGGGTGGATGATCTCATCCACCAGCCAAAAAGGAAAGACAGTTTTATTTAAATTTAAAATTCTTATAAAACTTAATTTTAAAATACTAGTTACAAAGTAAACAACTGGAAAAAATGTAGATAGGTATTGAATGTATTTTTGAGAAGTTGAAGGAAAAAGGAATGGTTTTTTTGGATGAGAAAGGATCTTGTAAAGAAGGGTTTGTCCTAAAGATTGTTTCAAATAGGAGAGATAGGACAAACCGTTAAAGGGTTTAGTGTTACATGAGGGTCTGAGTAAGTTTTAAAAGTGTATAGTAAAAGCTTCAGTGTGTGATAAAGTTAAAGTTGACTATAATCTAAGAGTTGCTTAAAAAATTTTTAAGGTCATGTCAAACTAAAATCAAATTCTCTATGTCTACAAAACAACAAGGTTACCTTAATATTGTTCTGCTTTGAGTAACAGCTACAGAAAACTGTTATAGGAAAAGATTTTATCAAAGAAATTATTTCTGCTGATATTGTCCAGCTTTAAGTACTACTAAATCAGAGTTCATTTATGTATTTGCTCATGCAAAGGTCTCTTAAATGACCACCTTATAACTGTGTTCTGTGTCTATACTTTATAAATATGATACAAACATTTACAAAGTTAAAAGTGTCAGTTTATGTAAAATAATGAGCTAAAGCTCTTTTTTTATCCAAAAGTGCTACATTTAACCTGCATTCTTACAGTCAGCCTCTATTTGCCTTTAAAGGTCCCACAAACACTTCATAGCAACTGACCTGGTCAGTTTTGCCACAAGAGTTTAAAGACAGCCCTCATCTTTGTGGACAGGCCCTAACCAGAGACTTATTAGGTTGGCACTACCTAGAGGCCACCCTTCTTCAATATGTTGATGACTTACATCTGTGCAGAGCCACAGAGCCCCTCA